TTTTTTTTTTTAATGTTAACTTTAAGTTATAATAAGGTCAATCCTAAAATTTTAAGTCGATTGAGTTAATATTGAATAATCTGTGTGTTTTTTAACGTTCTGACTATTTTTAACATTTTTCACATTGAAATAGCCATAAAAATCGGAAGGTCATAAAAAAAAAAAAAATTGTTTTAATCTAATTATAGCATAAATAATGAACCCTGAAAATTTAAGAAAAATATGAGGTGGTCGTGCAACCACTTCTGGATGATTTAGCATNGTGCAACCACTTCTGGATGATTTGGCATGGATTGACCCAGTAGCTTGCTGTACTACATAGAATAAAATTCGACTCGAATGATGAAAATTTTAAAATATTACATTTAACATATCATGGTTATAGGTAAACCTCTACAATTAAAGATTTTAGACTAATACAACACAAGATAAGATAAACATTTATCGATCTTGTCTATGATTAAATGCGAAAATGGTCATGTGTTGATTGAATATTATAAAACTAAAATTGATTTAAAGAAAAGTCACTAGTGGTACTAAAGAAATACTATAAATAATCAAATAATTAAATTTAAAAAAAAAACAAAAAGATATATAAAATTAAAGACAAACAAATTTAGTAGAGCAAAATTTTTTTTTTTTAATTTAAAGCTATTTTTAAATTTTATTTCATTTTTTATGATTTATTTCAACTAATACTAGTTCAGTGCTATAAAATTCAACTTAATAACTTAATTAATTTATATTCAAGTCAGTATAAACATTTGAAAAGGTTATAATGGAGCGTTGAAACTATTAAAGTAACGAAGTATAAAAAATAAGCTGTTTAATTACTATTAAATTACCAATATATTATTATCGCATGTAAAAAATTCAATAAATTTTTAAAAATAATATATCAAAATATTTGTCTTTAAATAAGGTTTTTTTTTGTATCTTGACTTTTATTGAAAAAATCACTTGAAAACCCCTAATATGAGTTTTTTTTATCGTTTTATAGATTATTCTTCGAAAATTCGAGGTCAAAACCTTAAAATGCTGTGCGCCTCGATTTAAATTTTTCCAAATGGTTTTAAATTTTCAGAATATTATTTTTTTATACTAAAGAAAAAAATGGAGGGGTGTCCCGAAAGAAATTTCGAAATTCAAAAAAATAAGGACCACCCTAACGTGGCATAGTTAGGACAAGTATAAATGATATTTAACAGTGATTAAAATCACTATCATAAGAAACAATTTGATACAAATCTGTATATATATATATATATAGTGATTAATTTTAAGAGATTGGTAGGTTTTTTTTTCAAATTAAAGTATACTACATAACCTAACATAAGACTGACACTTTTATATTACCTTAAATTAAAGCTTAAGTAATATACTTTATTATGGATAAAAAAAATGTTCGTACTTTATTTCGTTTTTATGGTGAAAACGGACATCAAAGTTAATAAAAAAACCCAGCACAGGGGGGTCGCGGCACAGTGGTGACGTGGTATAGATGGATCAAGTATAATGATATCTGACAGTGATTAAAATCACTATAAAAAAAAACGCTTCGATGCAAATCTTTAGATACTGTTTTATTTTAAAAAATTGTTGGACTATTCCAAAAGCTACATGATCTGCTAGTTCATTATTAATATCCTAATTAAGATAAAGTATGTAGAATGAAAAAGGGATTATTAAAAAATATTATTTCTCATAAAAAAATAATGTTGATCCATACACTTTTCAATATGTCATAGCATTATAAAGTTAAAAATGTAAAAAATAAAATCGAGAATTTTCACACAATAATAGCATTCGGTAGCCATTTTCACCGTGAAGATAAAATAAAGTCCGAAATTTTTTTTTC